CTAAAAATCAAATCAAATTCTTCCTCAATGACGTGCACATGAGGGGATGCACCTGCTTTGAATATTAAGTTCAGTAAATACATAAAACAGATGAAAGGATACTTTTCAACAGTAAACACTTCTATGAGGCTGGTGCAATTGTATGCTAAATGTGCTCCTGAGTGTTTATTCTCTGACTTGGAGTTAAAACAAACCAAGTAGTTTGACAAACAACAAAGTCCACAGTCTTCAAAGGCCAAAAACTTACCACTAAATCCCAGTTATTGAGTTCTAACAGGGTGATTGCCTCTGCAATGTTGTCAATTCCAGTGCATAACTGTGAGAAAAGAAAATAATATTCAGTTCAACAAAAGCTTTTTAGTACAATTAAATTAAATATTTTAAACATATGCAAATTCATACAATCACCACGGTGACAAAAACAGGGTAGACAGTAATTGTGCTTTTAATCATGCAATCCTGGGTGTTACATTTACAGCCAAATCGCGCAGTAATTACAGGGAGCACCTTCCACTGTAAACCACACAAAAAACCGTGTGTGCAAAGAGAAACCTTAAGTTTTATTAAGAGACATTTAAACAAAGTTATCTCACAGCAGTCCAGTATCGTTGGCTTCCAAGTGTGTACTAAAAGTAAAAGTATGTTTTAAACTAACTGAATGTGATAAAATAAAGCCACTTAAAGGTGGGACCTAAGAAAGTGAACGTTTAAATAACAATTTCATCACCATATAAACGTTTTAAATTATTAATTGTCCAGATAAAGGATTGCATCTGCAACATAGTAAATACAATAACTATAACCATATTAAGCCGGAACACAGTATGGGCTTCAGCCTTGCCTTTGACGGCTGCACTCTGTTTTTACTGAAAAAGACTTTAAAACCCGAGTGGCGAAATGTAAACAACCTGTACTTGGTACGGCAGATACTGGTTCACACGACGATGTCATCTTATGCGGTTTACTGCAACAATACATGAAAATGCACATAGACGCCATGGACAGTCGTGGTGGAGTTTGAGAGATTTTGTTAATTTTCTGTTTAAAGCTGCCCGTCACTCTGTGAGTTAGCTCGATGTGCTAACCACATAATGCTCAGCCCTTCTGTTTACGACTACGGTGATGTTGAGTTAACAGCTGTTTGACAGGTACTCGCAGCTATTTTTCCCGAACTGGCCACTAAGTCACTGAAATCTGTATACCACACACTGGACATACAGGAGACACACACCTGAAAGTTGGCCAAAATCATCTCTCTGTCCATGTTACTGTCGCCGCTTTCGGAGGCCATGGCAATGACTGGCTAAAAGCAAATCTTCCACTGGCTCTCGTCGCTCTCTCGCCTCACAGAGGGGGACGGACTGCGAATAAAACACTATTTTCCACACGGGTCGACGAATGACGAGTTGAAAAATAACCTATAACAACCTCTATCAGAATTTAACAGTATTAAATAGACTAAAATATGCGAAGCAACCTTAGAGTGTTCAGTTTTCTCATATCATTATTGTCAGCTAGTATCGCTTTACGGCAGTCGTAAAGCGGCTGCGGATGTTGTAAAAACTGCTGGCACCAAATGAAAAAGGTGCTCAACAACCTTGATACTAAATTATGGTTTCCACCCTAAATATTTATTGATGCTTTGATGTTCAAAGTCTTAGCCTAGTCTTAACAAAAACTCTGATGTTCTTTTCTTTTATCCACACAAATTCCAAATGTATTCACATAAAAACGCCCATGCAAATGGCACATTTTGTGTCTTTTCTTTAAAAAAGAAAATTAATTTATGTGCAGACGTATGTATACCCTGTCTATACTCTACCTAGATAATATTTTTTTTATTTTACCTTTTTACATTTGGTTTTACATGAAAACTAAATATCACAGTTAATGTAAAAGACTAGAAGATTTTCTAGACCAAGGATCGCCTAAATTATCTTAGACTGTGAATACTGTGGGATGTCAAACCAAAATGTCAAATATTCAGTCACCTTCAAATCTAGGCTAGATTAAGATATCAGCTAGCTATGTTAGATCATCATCTGCTTTTTCTTTCTGGGGTTTAATGGTAGCTCCACATCCTATGAGTTGCATTATTGCCATCAAACAATTCACAGACACACACTTACTTAAACAGAGATTTCTGACTGACTTCCATCAGTACATACTCATTCTGCCAGTGACAAATAATTCAAAGAACCTGGATTAAAATGACAGAAATCTTTGATGTTTGCAAAAGAAAAAAAAAGTGGAAGTTCCTTCCATTAGCCGCTCGGTGTATGTCAACCTAACTCTGGTCTATCTGTCTACAAATTGTCTATTGAGTGATCACAAATTTATATGGAGACAAAAATATCATGATAATAATTAGACTACACAACAATTACATGCTTCACATCAAGAATCACCGACTGGACAACATGGTGGTAAATGTTGGTAGAACACTTGCCTTTACTGCAAGAATACTCCTGTTCCCCAGCCATTATGCAATGAGGTTGATAGGAAATTCTAAAATGACTATAGGTGTGATGTGATGAATTTGAATGGTTGTTTATCTCTGTACGTTTTCCTGAGATGGACTGTTGAACCGTAACTGTAACTGGTGAACTGTAATCAATTCACACTTATCCGATTGGGGTCTGATTTGGTGCAAAAACTTCCAACCTCATTGACTGCCTGCCACTAAGGTCAGGTCAGGTGTGTTTCCCTCACACACTCGCAGACTCATGCCCAACAAGTGCAGAGTAGTTTGTCCAACTCAGAATTGTTGAAAATATTTGGTAAAGAATCTCAACTCAACAAAAGTGTAAAATATCTTTCACTTGCTGACCAGTCCTTGAAACAACAAGTTTGGGGCAGTAGTGTCTTAGTGGGTCTGGAAGGCCTCAGGTTCGAGTCCACCAGCTGCCAAGTTACCACTGAGGTGCTCTGAGTATGGCACCATCCCCACACACTCCCTCACTGTTCACTGTGGTGATGGGTTAAAGGAAGAGGTCACATTTTTATGTGTGCAGTGGTGTGCTGTGTCACAATGACAAGTAGTTCACTTTCCTTCTTTTGGAGACCACTGGTATAGATGTGACTACTCCATAACAGACTAATGTTTCTGTAATTGGTTTTTAGTTATTCAAGCTACAAATATTGTTCATTGCTGTATAATAAAAAAACGTTTAATTTCTCAGATTAAGAAACTCTGCTGCATGGACTTTACTAAATGCTTTTTAAGATCCTGCGGGCCACACAAAACGGGTTGGCGGGCCGCATTTGGCCCCGGGCCTTGAGTTGGACACGTATGATCTAGACGTTTAATGCTCCTATATTAGTATATTATATTAGTATAGTAGGAGTACAATGGTTTCTGTTATCGTCCCTTAGTCTGAGCGGGCTCGCTCTAGGACTTTTTTTTAATCAAACATTATCGTGTACAAATAGTCTGTCACTAGAGGGCGGCATAGGGCCAGGAAAGTGACAACCGGCGTTCTGTGACGATGGCTGACAGACGAGCCATGTATTTCTCATTGACTATAAACAACAGAGCAAAAAATAAAAATATTTGAAAACAGGACAGAACGAATTGAATATAAATGCTTTGAGATATGAGATTAAATCCATTCAGCACATTGTTGTTACCGTGATAAAGATACATTTTCTCATCTTGATGCGTTTGCAGCAGCAGTTACTTTTTCCTCTTCATAAACCCGCCTCTGTCCTCCTGTCCAATCAAGACATCTAACCTTTGGTATGAATTTTAAACTACACTGATACGGCTGAGCGGTGAAGGGTAACGGATCTGCTTTATATACAGCCCACGTTTAACGTTGACATGAACCTACCCGGCGATATGCGTCCACTGTTTGGACAATCACAGCCAAAATGTGAGTGAGATGATTCTCAGCGACAAACGGCGGATCATCCGAGTGGGTATGTGTGAGAATGAATTTGTGCGGATGGTTGTTGTGGATTCTTCCCTCACCTCCTGTGACCTCCTCTCGTCTGCTCCTCTCAGCCTCCATTCTTCATCTGCTGCATCTTAGGACGGACGACAACGCTCTTGCTGCTGCTTCTTCTTTTCAACATTTTAGCAAATTATTTTGAATATGAGCGGGAAGTGACTGTCAGTGACATCACATCCTTTGATGTTAAATATGCGCAGCTTTGACCTTTTTTTGGATTCGTTTCTTTATCCATCCGTGGGGTTTTGCTGGCTGTAATATTTCTAGGGGGAAGAGTTCCCGTTTAGTTCCTTAGCTGACCTGTTGTGCGGAAGAGTTTTTAATCTCAGTAAGGCGGGTTTATTCGTTATATTTTTTTTAAGTAAATTTTACCCAGCGTGGATTTTGTGTTGAGTTTATTACCGTCGCTGACTTACCGCTTACAATGAGTAAAAAAAACACGTGTTGGTGAAAAACATTATGAAAAATCTGCAGAATATTTAATTAGCTGTGAAACGAATTGTTTTCTTTCTGCATTTGTTACTTTTAGCATCGTCTTTAAGATGAACAGAACACGTGACGTAATTCCTGATGGGTTTTGTTTGTTTTTTAATTGTTTTGCCAACAATAGTGAAGGTCGCTTTTATACTGGCGTGTAACTCGCGACCTTTTGTTTAATGAAAAGTCTCCAGTGGAAAAGTATGTTATGTCTGGACGCAATATGTCGTGTTTGCATGAAGTGTATGCTAATATGTAAACAGACTGTTTCAGTTTTGAATAGAGTCTTTGCTTAATTGCACAGAAAATAGTTCTGGCATTTATAGTATTTATAATACGTTTCCTAGAGTGGGGTTTTTCCACCTCACCACAAGTTTACTGTATATGGTGAAACGGGGGTGGTGTCTAATAGAACACACAGGCACACATCATACCACCTAGCAACGTGGATCCATTATTCTTTGTCACTCACACCCAGAAAAACGTCTTCCACCGACCTCCATCTGCCTTTTCCATATTCTTATATTTTTGGACAAGAATGGATGACCAGACAATGGCTGACAAGCTCTGCACTGCTTCTGCCTGTGGACATCTTGATAAAGTCTTGTTTTTACTGCAAAGTGGAGCTGATGTCAGTGGAATTAACAAATACGGGAGAACTGCACTGCAGGTTAGAGGAGAACTTCTTTCATTTTTATCATTTCAACTGCACTTTATTTTCTTTTATTTTCTTCAAAAACGTGTGGTCAAACCTTAGACCAGGGGTCACCAACGTGGCGTCCGGGGTCGCCTGTTAGCCCTCGTGGTCTACCTACGGTTTGTTTTAAGAAATAAAAGTAGTCAACAAGAGGGTGAAACGTTGTACTGTTACTGTGCTTTTTGAACCAGTTCCAGCTGCAATGATATTCAAATGGGTGCAATGACTCTACTGCTGTCTGTCCCAGTACTTATTACATTATTACATTGTTCAGGAAGTCTGTATCAAACAAGTAGCTCTTCGTATTACTGAGTACCCTAGAAGTAGCTCTCAATTTCAAAAAAGTTGGTGACCCCTGCCTTAGACTCACATGTGAGAAACAACTCTTTTTAAAAAACGTTTTTTTGTTAACTAATATTATTGGAGGATTATTTTAAATAGTATTATATTGTGTTTGTTTACTAATAGAATATAATCACAGTCACATTTGTACTGTCATGTTAATTCAGCAATCACATGTGAACTGTACACATATGGGGGAAAGTGGCTAACCTAATCCTCCTCTAACTCGTTTTGGATAAAAGCATCTGCTAAATGCATAAATGTAAATGTAAACAAAATTTAAAAAAAACAAATCAAATTAGCATAAATGTGTAATGACGAACCAATCTCATTTAATGCCCTTTGCCTTTTGTTTTTTACCCACGTGCAATTTGCCTGATCTCTTTGTAACAGTTAGTTCCCTTTTCATATTGCCCCTCTGAGTTGTTTAGATTTGGGGGGGTTTAATATTGGACGTTGAGATATATGGTCATTATTGTGATAAACTCTACATTGGCCAAGTTTTAGTGATTTTGAAAACAGGCTTAACCTTAAATTTCAAGATTATATCCTGATGTATGAAACAATAATGAGGACAGATGTGTATTTAAGCTAAAGGCTACTGTGTTAAGTATTTTTAGGCCACAAAAGGAATGTGGAAACAAAATGGTCTTTCTCTTTAAAAAATGATCAGGGATTTAAGATGTTTTGTTCTCATCCTCATCTCGAGCATGATGAGCCCTTTTTGCCATGTCACTCTAGACAAAATGGTGGAAATCAGGAAATGGAGGCTGAGTCTGTTGTTTTAAAATCCATGCGTTTGCAGTTATTTTAACTCTAAGTGGCTATTTTACAAACGTTTTTGTTATTTTCTGACAACATGTCCTTATAAAAAAGAAAATCAATAAATTACACCAAGGCCACAGACTCCTTGATTCATCATAAAATACACAGGCCCAATAAATTTACCCAAAACTGATTAAAAAAAATGATATTCTTGTATCATCAGATTTTAGTTACATATAAACATAAAATATAAACACAAAGTGGACATAATAATGTGCAAAAAAGTGGTCCATTCTTTATCCTTGGACCTCTGATGTCAAATATATGGCCCAGGCCTCAAATACCAGGTGCACTGTTTTCAAGAGGTGCATTTGCCTAATAAAAGGGACATAAAGGCCATGTTTTTATGACAAACAATATGTTTTAAAAGTGTAAAAAATGTTACAAGGCCTGAAAGCTAACCCTATGCAAGTTTATGTGAATTGCAAGTTTATTAGCCAATGAACAGAACAGCAAGGCAATATAAAACAACAAATTAAAACATCAATAAATGTTACAAAAAACATTATTGTAATTTGAGGTAGGACTTAGACCAATGTGTGAGTAGAATTAGCTAAAAGATACGTTTATAGCCCCATGAAAGCTAATTATTGTAAAAACAAAACAAACAAAAACTTGCAAAAAGAAAAAATAATATCTAAATATTTGGCCCAAAAAACACGTGGATAAAAAAAAAAACATTGAAAATGTAAAAGAAATGGGGAAAAGGCTAAATCCATCCAAGGATTACTGTTCATTAGACCATATGATTTTAACCTTCCTCTTTCTTTTGTCATCATACTGACATGTTAAAAATATTGTATTGCACATATAGATCCTGATTATATCACCATCCAAAATATTTGTCCTTCATTATATAGTATATGTAGTGGAGTCTTAAATCTCAAACATGAGAGTAATCTTTTTGTAAAATTCTATAAAATATATCTAATTAAAAATTAAGTAAAAAATATGATCATTTATTATTATTATCATTGTTTTATTATTAAAGTGGTAGGAAAAGTACAACTGCCACGTACTGTTAACACGGCCAGTAGAGGAAAGGAAGGTTGTTTGTTTTTTTCTTAATGAACCACAGGAAACGAAGTGAGTTTATTGATGTATTAAAAAAAATAAAACAGACGTCCTGCTACTTATGCTCTTTGGCATGGCCCTGCTGCTCTGACAAGAAAGCAAAGTGTTTATCGCTCTGCGACCTCAACAACAATTTATGCGCCTAAAATTTGCGCTCTTGCGAATACAACTTGTATCTGAATAACTGTACACCTGTTTGGAGACACCCGCGGCCCTCGCTTTGGTTCGCAGTTTGCACATTTTTAGCGACTGTTGTAAACATGATTGTCCCAATATCTTCCCTATATTTTTGCAGGTGGTTAAATTGAGTTGCCCCGACTTGGTTAAGGTCCTGCTCAATAAGGGCGCAAACCCAGACTTACGTGACCCTGTCCTAGGCCTCACCGTGACGCATGATGCGGCGCGCGAAGGCTTCGATGACACAGTGAGCGTCCTCCTGCAACACGGGGCGAATCCGAACCTGTTGGATGATCGCGGTAACCTGCCGCTGCACCTGGCTGCCAAGGAGGGTAACCTGGAGGTGGTCCGGCTGCTCCTGGGGTTCACCGAGAACCCAAGCGCGACAAACGCCCAGGGGCGCACCGCCCGACAACTGGCTCAGGACCACGGCAAGACTCAGACAGCCGAGCTGATCGACGAGTATCTGAACAACGCACGTAAGTCCATCCTTTTATTAACCAATTAAACCATTTTTTAATGGTGGATTGGTGCAAATTGGGCTTTGACATAAATTACATCATAACCTAACATGCCGTCACATTGGTCTTTTGACATACCACATCAGGGATGTCCATACTGTTTTGGCTTTGGAGCCAAAATTCACACGACCTGGCTATAGTGATCTACCTTTATTGAAAATGATAAATATAGAGCAGGGGTCACCAACGGGGCACCTGGCAGTCCCCCGTGTGTCCGTGCGGTGTGTTCTAAAAATAAAAGTAGTCAACGAAAGGTTCATGATATACTGTATACATGTACTCATGTTAAACCTAACACACTTCATAAATACATTATATGTTGGGGTACTGATAAAATGCATGAAGCTCTGGCACAACATAATTTTATTCTTGCAGTATATGACACTACTACACACAACAAAATTAGATTTAGATATAATTTAATTTTAATTGCTCATGATCTACCAGCGCTCCATTTGCAATCAACTGGTAAATCCTGATCCACTTATTGGCCACCCCTGTACCACATATACATCTGTTAAATAAATATATTTGCGTTACTGCAACACGGAAACCCGAATGGACAACAATGTAACATTAAACACATATATAATAATAATAATAATTATTATTATTATTATTATTATTATTATTATAAACTCTCAAAAACACCCGGTTTCAGTCCATAATAACGTTACCAACAAATAAGAATGTGACTATTACATAAATACAATACAGTAAAGCGCGTTGCAGTCTGTCAATGCTTTCCTTATTATTAGTATTATTAATATTGTTATTATTAGAAATGCATTATCTTACATTCCAAACGTGTTGATATCGGTAGATCACGTTATAATAGGATTAGAAGCGGAGATCTACATTCTTGATTTGACTGACACTTCTTTGTCACACTCAGAACAGCCGGTTGTGAATTGTATTGTAAATTGAAAGTGTGATTATGATTTTTTACGTTTCAGTTTTAGCTTATTTAAAAAGTACCGCTCTGTGATGGTCACAAACTGTGGTTAAGTAGCGCTTCTTAGAGAGCTGATATGTCGCTATATGACTGTTGTGATATGGAAGAACCTGGAAGGCCATGGTTGGTACCGTAGCAGTCGCAACGCTACCTCCAGGTGGCGCCAAAATGGAAGCACAAAAGATTGTAACCTTCATTATTTCTATACTTTCAGCTCGTCACTTCATTACCGGTCGCCACAGCTGTAGTCCATGTAGTCATGTACGGCAGCTAGTTAATAACACACTTTAAACTAAAAAAGAGAGTAGTTTAACGACAAAACATAGTCGATGAAATACCATACGTTCTACATCCCTTCCCTCGGCTGGTTGCATCTGCTGTCTGAGAAGATGGTTAAAGATGGAGTCCTTAATCCAGGAAGCGGTTAAATAACGATGATAACGTCCGAACGAAGCGAACTCTCTGGTGCCCAAGGAAGGTAAAAGAAAAGAAGAGGAGAGGAGGCCGCGACAAAGACACAGGTACAGTGAAAAATAATCTCAAAAAATTTTAACCGGTTGCATTGCATTATGCTATGTTGCTAAGTGCCGTATAAAATTATTTTAAAGCGACGGGAGCCTTGAACCTAACGTGGTAGATATGCTAATAAATAAGTAGCTCGTTTTAACGTCAAATCATCTTACTGGAGCCAGGCAGGGGCAAAGACATCCGTTGAAAAGCTATATTGTAGGTTATAAATGCCCCCTAATATTTTTCAGGTGTTTCCTTTTGATAGGAAGAGACCGTTTAGCAGCAAGTGTTTTTTAACATGTCTACATTTGAATTGATATGTAGCTTTTCTATCTTCCGCCATTTTATAATAGTAAATTCCCCCCTTGGCTTCATTAGGACTTTTTTATATTTCATAGCTGTAGGCCTAGATTTTTGCTGTGTTGCAGATCATACAATAGTGTGTAAAGTATGTTTATAGTGCTAAACGTTCCATACTGCATAGCTACAGTATGACCCGCCTGTTCAAATAGTGGCACACGGATCCTTTGAGACGCATACGCAATGTAAAGTGGCCCAGTCTGTTGTCATTTTAGCAACTCAGAGAAATTGATAATTGGTAGGTCATTCAAAATTTCTACAGTAGAACAGGTCATAAATGCAATGTTCTTGGTAGCCTAGAACCACACAATGGACGGCGTATCCCTCGTGTGCCTAAAAGTGTTACCAGTAGTAACGTGACCTTCTTAAAGCAAGTTCTTAATGAAAATAGTTAGTTTGACTCTGGACTGAAAAGTTTTGCTTTATTTTAGACGCTCACTCCAGGGACTAAGGTGATATATTTATTTTGTGTTCAGGTATGGGGTTACATTTTTTCTTTCTTTCTTTTTTCATTACATCAGTATGATTTGTTTAAATAAATACATTTAAATAGCCCTGTCACGGGACAGCAGGCTTCTGCTTCTTTGCATTTTGCATGTCTAAAGTAGACATTGTTTAAAACACCTGAACAGCCAGTGATGTCACCTAGTCCTCCTTCTTTTTTAGATGCCATGCTGAAACACCTGAATCCCACCCCTGCACTGTGTATCCACAGAGATCCAGACTTCAGCGACAACTTTAGCAACAAATTCTATGGTTTATTTTGTATTCGTTCATTTGTATTTAATTCTGTGCTGGTAATTTATTGTATCTGCTGTCATTTTTTAAAATAAATTAAAGGAAGACAAAGATAAATATTTTGTGTTGTAAATTGGGAGTGGGATTCAGTGGAATGCGAGGAGGGCTCTAACCCAGGGCGCTAAAGTATTTAGGTAAGGCACACACATATTCTGCCCATGCGTAAAAATGTGTTACAAATAAGGATTTAACGATGCGTCATGAATTGGTTAAAATCGATACTAATACGTGACAATTAGCATTGGTTAATATATATTTTTTAAAAATCGCATCAAGACTTAAGAAATAATTTGCGGTATCTAAATAAGTCACTGGTCACACCATTAGACTACAAAAACCGACGTTTTTAGGCGCTAAGTGGCAGTATGCGCCTAAAACGTAGGGTCGTGACGCGCTATTAAAGCTGTCACGTCCCTACGTTGCCAAAGTTACATAAGAACTTCTTCTTGACTTCTACAGTCACAGTATTTTCTGTAGAGAAATGAAATATTTCCAGTTCATTGTCAAGATATTGACTGCGAGGTAAATAATGTGTTTAAAAATCGTGATAAAACCGTAATGTGAACAAAATATTATCTATCATGTTGTATCTTAAGGTGAGTGCATTGTTGCAGCCCTAGATACAAATGTTTTAATTTAATTAATGTCACTAATTATTTTGACAGCTCATTTAATATAAAAACATTGTTTCTTAATGCAGGGTAACAGCAAATGAAAGCATTATTGATACTGATGGGTAATAATAATAATATAATAAGGCCAAGGGGTAAACCTGCTTCTTTTGAGTCCATACAGACAGCAGAAACAATGTAGGTGCAAAATCACCACAGTAGGATGTGATATTTTTTGTTCTAATTAAATGAACATAACTAGAATACCAACAATACTGTACATTCCTTTTTTTCATGGTGGTATAGTTATGATATCCAGTTTCCATTTGTCCAATGACTATATTTAACATGTTTGATTTTGTTCTTCACGTGTTCATTCATTTTCATGCCTTTTTTTATCACTGTAGTTTAAGACAGACATCATTCCTCTTTCTTTGTTTCTTTCTTCTGCAGACTAGAAAGGATTAAGAAGAGAACGATTGCTGTTACAGCTGTTGAGCCGTTTCGACCGTCCTTCTGACTCTTCTGACTCATATACCTTGCAAACGCAATGCTGCTTTAACATTTTAGAATCAAGTCATTGATTTTAGAACATCCACACTTTAATATGCTATTTAGAGTCCCAGCAAATCACACAAGGCTTTAGATTTGCTTTTGTAAGTTTCATCTTCCCTGTTTATCCTTGAGTTACACTTATTTATCAGTCTTTTTTTAAAAATATCTGTGCCCTTCAGCGAGTACTAAACAAACAGGATGTGCTCTTCTGAGGCACCTCCAATGACTGGAAGTCATATCACTAGCTGTGTGTGGTTCTCTATCGTTAGCTATGTGTGGTTTTCACACTTTATTTTTCCAGGGCTTAAAAAAATAGAACTGCATTCTGGAACAGGTAACCAATGTGTTCAAATGTAAGCTTAATATATTCTCAAATATTCTCTCTATTCTCTGTATCTCGCCGTGCTTCATTCTCAGTTTTTCATTATCCGGAAGCAGTAGCTCACATGGTTGAATTCATGTCTGAATTACTAGTGAAAACAACAAAGATGTGTCACGTGTTGATAGCCACAGTGTGTGAAACTAAAACTAACTTCCTTTCATGCTCATGAAGTCCTTGCAGTCAAGAAGCTACATGCTCCATTTAGTCACATACACAATGTTATTGCAACAACATCAATAGTAACCCTAGTGGAGTATGCAGATTCGTGAAAGAAAAAAAAATCTATAAAAAATTACCTTTAAGTTATGGCTGTACTACAAAATGACAAAGGCCATTCTTTGTTTTTACTACTCTTTCTCTCTGACTCCCTGTGAGTATTTGATAAGCTGCAGCTCGGTTCAGCTGCTTGGTGGGGTGTCTGGCTCAAATGTCATCTCCAGATAGTATAATATTCAGTCATTTATTCATTCTTTTATATTCTAGCTGTTTATAATTCTCTGAGTAGCAGTGAGATTGGAACCATCTTGGACAGTTCACCAGTCTATCATTGGGCCACGTACTTAGACATTCAAATATACAAAGAGCAAGAAATCTTATCCTAAGAACTTTCCAAAGGACTGCCACCAAGAAAATGTGAAATAAAAGGAGAAGCGCACTACATTCAGAATAGGCCCCTTTTTCAGAATAGACTGTGAAGAAGCATCACTCATCTCATTCAGCATCATATGTGTACACTGTAATTATTTATGATGAGTGCATTTGAAATCATCTTGTACTGGTTCACCCAAAGACAATGGTTGGTTGAATACTTATACGTCCCTCTGTGTTCTGTTTATCTCTGCTGCTCTGTGTGGGAATGTGAAAATGAAAGCTATCAAATAAAGTGAACCAACCTTTAACACCTGGTGTTTGTCTGCTTCATTCATGTGTTTCACATCATTCACAAAACAAAATGAATGGTTATGTTTGATGTGCTCCTTAGGAAAATACTTCAGTTGCTCATTAATAACAGCTATATAATGATACTCAACGAAGCAAGCAGCTTCGATACTGATATAAAAAAAACCGTTGGGAGCCAACACACAGATCCATGCCAAAAACAGATAATGTTTTAAATAAAACCCCACCATCTTTGAGTCCACTCATGCCTCAGGCTTTTTTTCCCTTTTAGAGTAAACCTTTTTCTAAGAATAAAAAACACCCTTTGCAAGTCTTCTCTTTCAATTATTTAATCTTAACATGTCCCCTGTACTGTGCACTGTCTGCAAATGTGAGCCAAAATCTGTTACCAGAAACCGTGACGTATCGATAGGAACTGTTATGAATAGACACACACACAATCCACAATGAACAGCGAGCAGTGTTTTGAACTGTTATTTCAGTTAGTGTCATCTAGGTCGTTGTGGTTTTTGGTTATCTCTGAGAGAAGTACACTAGCTTTAGCTCCAAGTAATCAATTTCAATTTGAATATTTTCATGACTTACCCCACATAGCGGTGCTGTTTTTGTGGTTTGTATCCCCCTGTTCAACAAGAATAACAGTTTGGTAGGAACAGTGTTTTAAACGTTTTAATCATTGGACAGACCCCTTTAAGTGGTGCTTTGGCCCAGAGGCAATGTCTCTGGAACCCCAGGGTTCACCTCACGATGTACTGGTACGGTGCAATGTGATTTGGGTGATGGTCGTGGAGACTGCTGCCCCCACGACCCAGTAATGGATAAGTGGATGAAAATGGATGGATGGATGGACATACCCCTTCACTGCCTGTTTATAAAACCTATACTGCACTTATTTGTCACTTGCTTTTACCACCTGTTGAGTCTTTTCATGTTAACTGTAGTGATTTGTTTAGTCTTTGTTTAGCCACATGATCTTTAAGTTGTAATGTCGAATGGCTGTGTTTTTGCACATTGTCCTTTTAAATGTGCCTCAGAAGTAGAACTGAATGGTACCGAGTTTATGACCTCAGTGTTCCGTCCATCCATCTAGTTAACAACAGTCCAGTGTGGATAAAAGACCTCTTCCATCACCAACTTTCCTTTTTGTGCTTCTCACTAAAGTATTACAAAACCTGATACAGTGCACTGTTGTCGTCATTTAAATAGCTGAAATACTTTTTCAGTTGTTGGTAAAATCAAAAAAAGAGAGTTCAACAAATCTGAGCAATACGTACACAGAAGTATCAGGTGAGTAAATGTTTCCTTGTGCTTTATAACTGTTCACTGGTGGTTTTAAAGGTTCAGGTTATGGGTACGCTGTACATTTAAAACATTCAGTGATGTTGTAATGTATAAAATACTACCCTGGTCCCCATGGCATACTTCATATACACATGTACAAACACAATGAAAAGATAGTCCGTTTTGTGTATGATTTAATTCTGCCCTTCAAAGTCAAGATTCCAGGACAGTAACAGGGGCACCAACATTCAGTAGTTTGCTTAAAGACACCAGTAATAAATTATGCATCCGCTCCTGAGCCACACACGTAACGACCATGAAAGTCTGGGTTAAAAACGAACCCTCACAACTCATTTGTACACAGCCACTGAATGCAAACGCTCAAACAATAGTCAACTCTTGTCACAAGGCTGATTGAAAGTGCAAATATAATGGATCTGATTTTATTTGTGGATATTCTCAGTCATCCAGGTCATCATAATAATGTGTCTGATTCTTATAAATGATTGGTCAATGGTCTGGTGTCTGGTGTCGGCAACAATCAGAGGTGTCACCGTCACTGCAGTAAATTCCTGCGAGGTCAAGAGTTTGAGGAGTTCGACAACAGTCAGAGATCCATCACCTCAGTGGCCGATGCAAAGAAACTGTCTTTACCTTCATCGTGTGTGTGTGTGTGTGTGTGTTGTGAGTAAACACTGGTACGATTGAGCCCTTATGCTGACTGAAAAAACAAACAAAAACTGATTTTTACAGAGTCACTGGACAATTGATCAAACCAACAAACTACCTTGGGTTTTTCTGCTTCTTCCTGTGGTGTGTCTGTCAAATACATCTGACGTCCACCGTCTCGTGTCCACACCTAGTAGTCATGGCTGTGTGTGTGTGTGTGTGCAGGAAGTGAGCCAATCCTTTTGTTTCTATTCCTTCTGTCGTTATCGTAATCCGGCGCCAGCAGCACCACAGATACGCTGCGAACGCCACACTCCTCTCCTCGCTCTGTCACAGTTCATTTCAAAAACGCAGAGCAGAAGGTGTTAGTCTCGTGTTTGGTGTCGCCATCTTTGTGAAAGCACATCTTACTTCATTATACCAGTTAACAGTTTGTTTTTTTTTCATGTTCCATGTGCCTGGCTGAGTTCGTAGGTGTCTTCATGCTCATCCATAACAATTGTCCCATGCGTCCACCGCTGCCTCTTCATTGTCCAAAACTTTTGCGAATCCTGTCCAGCAGGTTAGCTGTACACACGTACATTAAGACACACATAAAGAGAACATGCCCACGTGCACACACATATTCAAACATCAGAGATCACCAGACGTCTTTGACATAATCAACACTTTGACAACAACCCCTTACTAATTCAGGATACAGTGTGCATACTGAATGTGTGTGTGTGTGTGTGTGTGTGAGAGGGTGTTTGTGTGTATTTGCCTGGTAGACAGGTGTTCGGAGCACGTGTTTGTACAGTTGGGGAGACCGGGTACGGTTGTAACATGGGGAGAGGTGTAACAACACCAATTCCACCAATCAGGGATAAGATAGGAGTTATATGATCATTTCAGTGTTTACCCACTCCGACCCCGATCCTACATGGTGGTTGTCAAGCCTGTAAACAGGCGCATGCCGATTCTATACAGAAAAAAAAATGGATTTAGAGGTAAGAAAGTACATTTTATGACCAAGACTATATTTAGTTTCATACTTATACTATTGTACATAAACAATATGACTTACATTAGATTAAATTGTAGTTTCTCAGGCAAAATGTGATGCATTTTACCTCTGCTAATTTCAAACCACTATGTTAATACAGTGGCTGACAGGTGTGGGGATGGATGTGTTCCAACCATCCCCTTACATACAACTAAGAACACTTTCTTAATTTGAATATATTTAACAGAATGCTTAGGCAGTGGACAAGAAAGACTGACAGAGGTGTGCCTGCAAATGTTTTTAAAAAAAGAATCTGATGAGGTCACAGAGAAGGGCAAGTCAGTCAGATCAGCTGCAAAGGCACATGGGATCTGCCATGTGACACAGAGCAGACACTGCAAATCACTGCAGAAGCTGAGAGAACAGGGACAAAGTGATCTTCCCAGTGTAGGTTACTCTGAGGTGCAGGAGGAAGTGTTGGCTGACTATTGGACTCAGGCTGCAGACCTGCATTATGGACTGACTCCACGTGAGGTGAGCATATGACAGGTTAGTCACTGGAGACCAGAGAAGAATTGAATACTAGCACAGGTGCCAGACAAATGGAAAAACTTTTGTGTCTATGTTCTCAGGTTTTCGATTCCACTTTCTTTTAGGTCAGAAAATATGCATATCAACTGGCAGTAATATATAACATCAAACACCCACAAACATGGGATGGGAAGCAGATGGCAGGGCCTGACTGGTTCACATTCTTTATGAAGCAGAACCCCAGCCTGTCACTGAGGAGACCAGGAGTCCACCAGCCTTACACAGGCCACAAGGTTTAACTGTTACAACCCACCCCACGACACAGGAACTCCATGTATTTGACATCAACTCACCAGGTCTGTTAGAATCGGTGCCATTTGTAGTAAACAAATGTGGGTACTTTGTGTAAAGGTTTGAGAGCTCTAGCTCAAAAATTCAGTGAGTTACAGGTGCTGAAGCAAAGGGTGTTACAACCATACCCGGTGTGCCCTATATGAGTGTGTCAGTTGGTCTCGTAGGAGGAGAGCAGAGCAGCGTCCACAGGCTCCATGCAGGAGGGGCAGGTGAAAGACCTCATCAGCCAGTCGTCTATACAGTCCATGTGGTAGGTGTGCATGCAGGGCAGGAACCGGATGGGGTCTCCATACACAAAGTCCATCATACAGATGACGCATCTGCAGACACAAACACAAACCCAGTGGTTAGCACACGCAGCACAAAATACACAATTAAAACTAAATAGATTAAGAGACTCTCTTCAGTGTTCGGATCGACTACTGGACATCATTCAGGTCCTCAACGGCTGCAGGGGAAAAAGGATGTACCACACAGTGTTCATCAACATAAACACTGCAGTTACATATGCTGCTTTATGGGTAACTAACCCTTCAGGCCTTACTGAGTTAAGATACCTGTGATATTAGGGTTGAAGATTAATCTGATTGAAACACATTTCATCTGTATGTCCATTCACTTACCATTGCTCTAATACACAGTTCACACACATGTTAATTGTGCATATTACTGGGAAAACGCTTTTGTTTCACTGAGCAGCTCGAGCTAAAAATATCCTCCCAACGCCAACTGTGTGTGTTTGCGGAGGCTTTGACTTCCGGTCACACACCCGTCTTGCATCAGAACAGCCACACAGAGCACACAGCAGTCAGTAAGTCGACGACTCAAGAGTTAACAAACTCTTTGTCAACTCTTTCTCATGTGGATTGCGAGGGATAGTAGACTGATTAATGATGTTGAGGACAACGGCCTCACTGGAGTTTTGAAAGAAATGTTTTCAACTGCAAAGATGCACAAAATGGAACCTTGGTTTTTCCAGACCTACGGTTGCACCGCCGTCACCCACTGTTTCTTCTAGCCACCGTGGCAAATATTCCGCAGAAGAAAGTAAAAGTGAAAGTGAATTATTTGTCATTGTGTCATAGCACACCACTGCACACAATCAAATGTGACCTCTTGCTTTTAACCCATCACCAAAGTGAACAGAGAGCAGTACTGAGTCATTTCTAGTGAAATGGAAAAAGAATTCCTGAGCTGGCTCTAACCAGATGTACCTATTGAAGTGGCAGTGTGTGAATATATATATAAAAATGTCTTCCTTTCTTCAGTTTGTGCACCCAACAGTTGACTCACTCTCTAATCTTCTTCTCGGAGCCGTCCTGTCCAAGGTCGTACACGCCCCTGGGTAGATGCTGGATTAGTCCAATCCTCTGAGCGATCCGGACCTGCTCCTCCTCTGTCAGCTGAGTGGCCAGCCTGGCTTGGCTGGGTGTGGGGTGATAGATGGGGATATGGATCTGTTCCTGCAGACATGAGACAAAAATGCTTGAATTATTAGCATCTGACGAGGAAAGCAGGGACATCTCAAATGCACATCAGTATTCTAGTCCTTGATCCAGAAGGCCTAGATTTGGCTGAAATTTGATGAAAAAATAACAGTACTGCTAATGCTTTCGATGAATCTTTAGCTGAAAGCTTAGACAGCCGGTTTCTTTTCAACAAAGGGTGAACAACAACCGATTACTTCAATGTTTCATATTTGATCAGTTACAGAAAATTCATAATCGGTCAGTAGGTGGGGGTGTTTCCCCACAACTTGGCCTGGCAGCTGGAGCAACAGTAAAGTAATGAATTCTTCACTTGACATCGAAGTTTTTGGCCATTTTCACTACAGGAATGAACACACAAAAATACAACACACAAAGATATTAATAATAAACACGTAATTGCTACTTATGTATAAGCCCGTGGTTTTAAAGTGTAATCAAAGCTCTTCTCATTATATTGAAACTGTAAATTATTTTAATTCGAACACAAACATGATACTGATTGATTGCAATCTCATATCAACACAATTTCCTCCACTAGGAGTACTGTTCCACTTTCTGAAGAGTTTAAAGTTGATGGTGACGTACAGCAAACATAGAAGAGACTAAACACGAAAAAGTGATTGTGGTGAAAATAAGTAGGAGGTAGTTTCCATCCTTAATATTTTTTCACTAAATTTAAAGGATATGAACAGCCGACGCTCTCCACAATCCAGCAGCTGTGCCTCGTTCTCTAAAAATGTTCTCTCAGTGGGGTTTTTTTTCCCTCTCTTTTGTCAAGTTTCTACTCACTCCACACTCTCAATTTGTGGTCTAAGTCTGCGCCTCCAACTTCACCACTTCCTTCCAGCCCTCTAAAACCCCTCAAACAATACCATCCACCTGTTTCTGCTCCCTCTTTAGAAGCACATGACTCACGACTACATATTCTCCAGTGACTTCAGGATCCAGGGAGTCAGGTCATGGGTGACACATCCATGCTAATGAGGGAGCTCATCCACAGCCATCTGTACTGACACACTGGAGATCAAACATTTGGTTTGTGAATCTTAGGAAATATAATGATAACAATGGTTATCAGTTTTCCTCCAGCCAACAGTTTAACTGCCAGGTACTGCCTTGTTCATTTCCTACTGATTATTGCAATATATCATAAAATACCAGAGAGCATTTGAATATGGCAGACCTCTCCTTCTTACAGGTTTTGACAATACCATCCAGCATGGACATGATGATCGGACTAATATTTGTTTGTTGTTTTGTTTTTAACTGTTGTGTTTAAGTTATAACCCAGTCTACAGTTTATTCATTAACATCCGGCTCCTTGAAAATGCAATTTCAAACCATTTCATGTGTAGCCTGTCTGTTGTGACATTAAAAACCATTGGATCCTTGAATATTGAACGTGGCACAAAGTGATAAACAAATTCAACTGGAAGGCTGAGTGTCACCGAGACATCTCTGTGCTCAGCCACAGCAGCACACGGTCATCTTCTCATCATCTACACTTTTGTGAAACATTATTCTAAAAGTGAAATCAATCCCAATCTGCAGGTAAAAACCAGAAGTAGCGAATTTGAAAAAGTCTGACTTCACAGTTTGCAGAGATCAGGTTAGCTACCATATGTTGGGCCATGAGTCAGCATAACATTAACAGCTGAGACATTCGGCTGCTACGCTAAGGCCAGGCAACAGAAATAAAAGACAGAGACGGAGAGAGACTGAGAGACAGGTGGCAGCTGAGCAAATGCTCCTCCGAGCATATTCAGCAGCATTACTGTCCTGTGTCTAACACTGCTTCTTTAGTGTGTGAGATGGGACGTGACAACTGTGACTGCAGGGCGACCAGAAAGACAACAGTCAGACAAGACGAAGAGTGAAGCACAGAGCGAGAAAAGGAAGTGAAAGAACAACAATCAGGGACGCAGGACAAGCTAACTGCAGAAGCTGGTTTCCTTTGCCAAGCATGATGTTGGCTGCTGATATCAGACAGAAGCAGCAGCAGAAAGTGACAATCTGGCAGAGCAGGGCTACGAAAAAGTGAGCAGGGAAGGCACTGAAAATAAACATTTGGACAAAGACACGGGAATAAATCAGAAGAGGGAGAAAAGTATTTCACCTTTGTCCTTGTCATAATATCAATAGTTAAGAGAAAGAAGGAGAAAGAATGGCAGGATGAAACATGGAGACAAGTTATTTATGAGCAGTTATTACGAGACTGTAGCCACGTGAAGGAGGGAGCAGAGAGCTACGGCCACACAGGTCCCTTTCACTGACTATGTTACTGGATTACAACAAATGTCTAGAATGTGTGGATTTACCCAGGTTTCCTACAACAACACGTGTCTTGTACATTTACAAGAGCAGAGTTTCATTACTGTAAAGCATCGACGTACCTAATACATGGACCCTGTATGTGTTCAGTTTGATTTGAAATTTAAGACAAAATAATGGGATAAAATATGTCACATTTAATGACAATCTTTCTTTATGAGCGTGGCACTTGAAGCCGACAGAATCAATTAATGTTAGTATTCTGCTGTGAACGTTAGCCTCAGCGGTCCTGGTTCAGCTTTAAAATGTTGAAAATAACAGCTGTAACTGCAATGTGAGTTGAAATGTATTAGACAGACAAAAAATTACAAATGATTAAGATAACATTATAAAACATTTTGAATAACTATGATTTGTTAAAATAATACTTTTTAACCCTATCCCAACATCAAATGAATAGTCTGCAGTTCTACCCCTCTGTATGTCCCAGAATCCCCTTAACTACCACCACTAACTACCACTTTTTCTGACTAGATTTATTGTGACTTTTAGGTCAGGAGATGGCACTATTCATTTTCTTGGTGTTGAGATAAACTTGTCAGCAGCAATAATGTAATATGAAACAATAAGAATTGGCAACAACTTTGACACAGTCATGTATGTTGACTGTTTACATATTTAAATTGCACAATTTTGTTGTCTTTAATTTGAAATACTTGTTCAAAATACTTGTAGTTTTTTGCCACAGTGGGCCTTATACTCACACAAATAAATAGACCAGACAGCAAAAAGGCTAATGAAACGTGTGCATGGAAAAACCAACATTAGACAGCGAGCAAAAATACATGAGCACTGTGGGTATTTTTGAACTAGCATCTAAATAGAAATGCAGTGTAAAGGTCATTGTGCTAAATAAATTAGAGCAAACAAGTGGCTGAACGCACACACGGGCACACAGATGCCTGCTCTCTGCTATCTACCACAGCTCAGTCCCACAGCAATGAGTCAGCACTTGTTGCACCAGCTGCTTTCAGCACGTGCTTAAGGCGACACAAACACACACAGACACACACACACACAGCATTCTCAACAACATGACAACCTCAAACACAGTCCGGAGAGTGCAGTGCATACATGTTTATATCATCATATCCCCACAATTGAAATACTGCAAATAATTTAGACGACAATTTAGTAAAAAAAAATTAACAAAGTATTTTCAGACCAAGGGAGTTGTTTTTATATCTGTATTGTGAATGTGAGGACAATGTGTCCCTTTGTTCTTCAATCCAGGGTGGAGGTTCGGCCTCCAGTCCTTCAGATGCCAGACTGTGGACCGTCTCTTTTAACCAGGAAATGTCTCAACAGTAACACTACAGCCTTGGGCCAGACAGTAGTCACACCCTTGTCCAGATGGTAGAAATTCACCTCCTCTGATTCACAGCTAACTCCAGACTGTTGGGAAACACTGGTATTCCCAGGAAACTGATGTCAGTCCACTGTCATGGGGCAAAGTGAAAATGAGGAGCTGTGTTTCAAAGCTGACGTTGAGTAATTGAACTGTAAGTCTGCTCATTTATATACTTGGTGTTTCACTGTGAACTTCAGACTTGAACACATGCAGAAGATCAGCAACGACTCGTAACTAAAGAGCAGTGATGCTGGAATATTGTGACCTCTGCTGTGGTGGTTTAGTGTTGAGCGTCACATTTAAACGGTTGAACTGTTGAGGAAAGGCACCTCTCAGAAAGGAGAGGAAGGAGGTCGAGACAGTAAATGGACCAGTGTGGTATGAGACACAGCCAGTCTGCTATTTGACTGCCTGTGTTTGTAATGTGCATAGGGTTTTTATTTCTAAGATTGGCTGTCTCAAACGTATTTATGTGATGAATATAAACCATGAACCAAGGAGACGTATTGTTGTTTTTAAAGGTGTGAAAGTTTATAACAGATTTCATTGATGGACAGATAAAAATTCATGATGCACTGCAACTGACCGTAAAACTATTAATTCAATTGTGAAATAATAATATATGTTTTTACATAAAATGTAAATGTCAAATTGGTATTTTGATTAATTACTGACATTTATTTAATTATTTAAGGGTGTATTTATTTATTTAATGTAGGCACTTTCAGTCCTCCATACTAAATGACACAGCAGGTAATTGTTTGCGTCTGCCTTTTTTTTATGGCAGATGTCTCGTGGGTTGTTTCTAAACTCCGTTGCTATATGAATATGCAGGTAACACAGCAGCAGCAGCTGAATCTCCAGAGGATGTAGACACGACAGCAACGCTTTGGTGAATGAGGTCGTGTTTTAATTGGTCTTTGACAAGAACTTCGACAAGTGTTTTTTTCCAGCAATGGGAACGAAGTGGATTCTTCCATACAATCAACTGTTCAGGATATGACAACATCCTGTCAAAGTACTGTGATGCATCACACTGCTGCAGTAGTTTATGAAAAAGCAAACAACTCTACATGATTATGGTTATCAATCCTGGCTTTCTCCTTAGGTAAAAAGTGATGTGTTACATGACAGAAAAAAGTCTAAAATACTAAACAACGCCATGGTCTTGATAGAGGATTATATCTGAGAGAGTGAGAGTGAGAGAGAGAGAGAGATCCAAAAGCATGGCTTTTAACCAGTTATTATCATGTACAGTGTAAACAAACAGCACAAGAACTTTGGTTACACAGCTGGAAGATAAGTCAGAGCTGAAAACAAACTGAGGAGAGTATATTTTCCCCGTCAGACCAGAACATCTGATCTAATTTCATGCTGCTGTGTCCAAAACATGATGTACTCGTAGCCAACTGTACTCGGACAAGGATCGACAAATTAGGACAGTGTGGTCAGTTCAGGTACAATCTGAAAAGTCACATCTCACTGCTTAGAAAGAAAAACTGTTGTGTCACAGTGATGACTCCAGGAGGTTTTAGATGTTCATTTCAGGCCTTCAGTGCCTTTAGTTTCCTAGAAATGTTTACTGCTTGTAATTTACATAAGTATTTAATTCTCTAATGCTTTTGACTGACTGAATGCATGACTGACCTGAAATCACCTGTGGTTCCACACTGCCTTTAAGGGACTTATCTTAACTACACTGATATTGATTGGCTTAAGCTAAAGTCTCAGCCACGGCCTTGTGTAAGAGATAGAGCAGCTGTCTCGCAATAATTGTTACACACAGAACATTACAACGACATATAAATTAATTTAACATGTGAGACACAGTCTGGGACAGAGACCCTTTTAAAATGATCACATCAGGTCGGCTTTATACATCTAGCACAAACAGGTAAACTATTTCTAGTCAAAAATTGGATTTCATTAAAAAAATGTATGTATTCTGCTTTAGGATCGATTTACTCACATTATAAATGGTGACAAAATGAGATAATATATAATAACTAATAATTATCTGGTGCTCACAGCCAACGCCAATAATTTGATATTTTTATTTAAGAATAAATGATCTGCATATGACCATTAGTCTGTGTTGACCTCAGGAGATCAAATGCTGAAATGTCAGTGTGAGCAGACAAGAAACACCAATTCATGCTACTTTTTAGACGACGTTTGAGAACAAATCCACAACAACTTATGGGTTTTAAATACATTCACTGTGTACTTAAGAATAAATCATTAATGATGGCTGATGGGAATACCAGGCACAGTAAGGACCTTTGGATATAACAAAGAGGATTAGTGTCACAGCGACTGAAGGAACAAGGTCACTGGGGTGATGGTGGATCTGCAAGCAGTTGATCCAGCCTCATTAACAAGTGGTCTCAGAGTTAGCCTTAAGTATAGAGTAGGTGCCAATAAAGCACCAAGACATGAGACACACTGCACCTCAGGTCTGGTTGTACAAAAACAAATGACGAATCCCACTTTTGGTCAACTCTGGGTGTCCAATTAACCTAATTACATGTTTTTGGCTATGAGAGAGAGAGATGAAGTACATGCAGAAAAGTAAGTACAAACAGGAACCCAAAAGCTAAACAAAAAATACTCCTACCTAAATACCAGTCGTCACTGTTTACAGTGACATCTGTTTTGTTTGTAAGTTTAAGTATAGAGATAAACTAGGTTTACTTAAAAAATTCTGTATTGATCCTTTAGTGTGAGACATTGTTGGGATTACAGTGCAATACATTTTCAAAGTTGTTGGGGTTTTTTTATATTTACCTTGAACATTCACGTTATGTATTTGGTTTGAAGTGCCAAATATGGAATGACATCACTGTATACCAAAACATCTCACTGTGCTTTAATGGCACAGTGGGCGCTCTCGGTCATACCGCGACCGTTGGGAAGACTGATTACCTGGTAGGGGGGCGGTGGCTCCTGGTCATGGTCAGTACCATCACCGTAGCTGGCCCGGTCCGACTGGGACTCGTGTAGCAACGAAATATCATCCGAGGTCGGAGATTTAAGACAGTTTCCCATCTCCTTCCTCTTCGTTTAAACTCTATCGTCTCTTTCTGTCTTTCTTCTGTCGTTTCCCGAGCAGCAAATGTCACGGTCCAATTTCACTGACGTTACGAAAGTACTAACAAGCGACAAGAATGCGCTTTTTCTTGCATTCACCGCAATGAATCTCCGACCCCAGACGACCGGAGGGCAACTCGACTCAACAAAACATCCTCAGCCAACAGCTAGCCACACAAAGAGCTAGCCTGCTAAATTCAGCTAGCACCAAATAAGATGCATCTAGCATTCGTTTAGCTGTTGAAATAATAATAATATTGCGACAAACAGAAGCTTATTGTATATTTACCACTGGAGGTATCGACACAAGAATAAAATATCTGTCCTAGTTAATTGACAGTGGCAAATAAAGTTTTCTTGAACAGACACCTCATCCGCTGCTGGCTGTTGAGGCTTCTGTCAGGGGCTTTCCAGTTCGCAGCTGCACAACAAACACAAAAGATGATGACGTATGTGCACGACACCCCGCCCACCCTCCTCAAAACATAAACACAGAGGTATACATCTTCAAATGAAAGGCTATGAATTTAAACGAGAGTAAAAATGCTCAAAAAATTACACATGTTCAAACCAACTACTGAAAACGTCTTTCAGGTATTTTTTTTAATATAATAAGCTGAATAAAAATTAATCGAATTCCATTGTCCCGCTGCCATTTTTATATGAACAAAGAATCAGATTACTCCATTACCGAGCGTCGCAAACTGCACTTTTTACCATTTAAAATTTTGAATTTTTTTTACCCTTTTTTAAGTTTAGAATTCGGTCATGTCTATTCATGTTTGTACATTAGAACCCTACAGCTATAACCAAATAAGCAGGGACAACGCAAGAAATGCAGGTGCTTGTTTTAATGGCTTACCATCTTTTTATGTTAAATTACAATAAAAACCTTTAGTATATACAGGACTGTCTTTCTGCTTAAAGGCAGCTGTGCAACACATTGATCATCAGTATCTAAGCGGATACCACGTTTGGTATATATATTACGATTGATTAATAGTTAGAACAGAAAACGTACTTTTCATATTGGAATATTGCATACAGAGAGAGACTGATGTTAACACAGTCGTCATTTTACTGTTCCTCCACCATTAAACAATTAAATTAAATCTAACTCCAAGTAATCCTTGTGATTCACAGATCATAATGTAATCATGAATTTATCAGCAGTGTTCCAAATTCCAGCACCAGAGGCGGTGAATTTCTGGGTTTGGGAAACTGTTTTTAAAGCCAAAGCTTTCCTTTCTTTGAACCACCAGCACATTTAGACACATTGTCCCATTTGTTTCTCATCATTCAAGTTATTTCCACAGTATTTTATACAGAATCATTTAGAGTTATTATGATGTCTTGACGGGCCTGGTCAAGCTTTGACAGATAGATGAGCAGCGGAGGACGTTCACAAAGGAAGAAGACTGTGGTCGTTGTCCTTCAGAGCGTCTTCACCCACTGTGGACGCAATAAGCAGGCAGGCATGCAGTCCTTCGCTGCTCAGTGTGAATGGCTTGTTTGTTCACGCTCAAGTAGTCCTGGAGACCGTCCCACACACCGGGAGGAGAAAAGGAGGAAGTCTGCCTTTCTAAAAGACACATTCATCTGTCCTCTTAAAACAGGACAATTTGTGAAAAAGATGCCATTTACAGAATATAAATTACATGTACAGTAAATAAAGTACAACGCTTGCTTCAAGTCTGATAGGCATTTTTTGTGACCGCAGACAGATTGTTTCTGACTAACAATGATTTCTGCAACAACCATGAATGCAGCAGGCTTTAAAGGTAGAATGAACCCGTCCCAAAGGAGTTTTGTCTGTCTTACTGGATATCAAGGTAAGGAAAGAAACGTATACTTAACAATATACTGTATTTACCACTTGTGAGAAACACAATTAACCAAAGTATTGTTCATTTATTTTCATTCGAGTCAGACGTACATTTGAATTGTACATCTGATTTGCAGTTTCTGGTCATGTAAAACCCAAATGATACGGAAAATGTAACAAAGTACCAGAGTACAAAAAAGTCCTGAATTCTCAACAGTGGGTTGAATCAGTGTTTCCCAAACCTTTTTTTCTGGGGACCCATATTTTAAAAGTCACAAACCTTAGTGACCCAAGTCAGTAGATAATATTCGTAAACTCCTGGGAAACATGATGCAAGACGACACAAAAAAAAAAACTCTTGCGACCCATCTGAGGGTCATGACCCAGTCTTTGGGAAACAATGTGTTAAATGGTTTTGATTGACGTTAAACATTTAAATATGTTTCTTTCAATACTTGTATTTATATTTTTCATTTACTGTGTGTCACATATCTAAAATCAATGACCTAAATTAGGTCCAATCAAATTGAATTGGTGGTGTTGTTGGCCTGGTTGGAGCAAGTTGTTAATAATTCACATTAGGTTGTTGACATTAGAGCCTTGGACTGCACACACTTTTGTTCCATGTATGTTCTACACTAAGACAGAGTTGTACTGTTAAACCAATAAGAGCGATGGAAGCAACATTTCTTCACATTTACCAATCAATCCACACGATGAACTGACTGTCATCACATTTCAGCTAAGCCAATCAGGGCCAGGTAGAGCTGCAGGCATCCCATTGGAAGAAATAAACGTGTCATCCTGACCAAATAACAAATCGCCCACCTGAAATAGTGAGTTGTGAATGAAGCTGAGTGTCAAGTCGTATTACTGCCAAGAGCTTTAGAGCCACTTTCTGTTTGTTATGGACTGGAGGGAACGTCGTTGTCATTCCCTGTGGCCCCCCTGGCTTTATGCAGAGCCGCCTGAATACGGAAGTGAGTCCGGGATTCCATGGAGTAGTTTTTGTAATTTTGCCTGAAACGTGACAACACAGACATTTGTGATCACAAAACAGGTAAACTTCAACCTTTGACAAAGATGTTCATTAACTTACATTACCAAAAATAAAAAAACTAAATTATTACTTCATATATTCAACTCCTCTTAGGAAAACGTTAGCCAAATTTTATATGTGTCTTTGGCAAAAACAAGACTCACTGCCCTTAACAATATTTTTTCAAATAATTTTTTGCAGTATACAGAATACTACTACAAAATATTTGAAATCCTCTGTGTTGCTAATGTGAGAACAGAAACCAATAGAACGACCAGGCATAAACAGAATATTACACACACACGTTAGGTCTGCAGGTTAAAGGTAAAACACAACTATATTTAGCCTTTTGTAAAAGAATATACAACACTAAATGATTGCAGTATTTGGAACATACTTTGCCGTCTCCAGTAGTTTGATAGCTTCACTGTTTCGTCCTTGTGCCAGACACAGCAGGCCGTGCTCCAGCAGTGCATTAGGAACCAGGTAGTGGTCATATTTGATCTGAGTCTCACTGCAGACAGTGTCGAAACACAGGGTTTACATTTGTACACACGTCAACTCAGTCCCTCACCAACGAGAGTGTGTGTGTGAGACACTCACTTGCAGAGAATGAGGGTGAAGTAGTGTTCTGCCTCCTCTTGGTGGCCCAGGTGTTTGAGACACAGGCCCTTCAGCAGACTTATGAGGCACTGATCATCTATTGTGAACTCAGTCCCTGATCAACACACACAGAGCAGGACAATCAGGACGAAAGTGAACTGAGCAGGTCTGGTGCAAACTACAAACTCAAATAAACACTTTTAGCAACTCTCTGAGTGAATTTCAACACGGTTTATATACACGGTGCACGTGTTCCTGGTGAGTTTATCTACTGTAAGTTCTGCACAGTGAATGTAACTTCCTCCTTATCTGCCGCAGGCCGTGTATCTGTTTTGTAATAACTTCCTTTTTGACGAGGCTGGTGGAGATGTCCTGTCTAACTGAACAATTTTTCTTCTTCCTCCATATCATATGTTCAGATTCATTTTGTCTACTGATGGTTTATTTTTGCTGCAAGAGCATTAAAGTCAAATGTGATGAAAATATTCTAATGATTTTTATCGTTGTTTTAAAATCACCTCTTTACTGTGGCTTCGTACGACCGCCTCAGTCTTGACAACAGGCCAGTCTTCAGTTTGTAAAGACTGTCAACAGTTACGGCTAAGAGCTGAAAGATTTCATATTTCTGAGAGGAACTTCACATGAATCAACATTGGTATTTTTTTTTTTACATATCTTTCATTTTTTACCTTACCACACATTCCTACATAGTCTTCATAAAAGACTTGATAACAGATAATGATCCCAAAGTTGTCAGCATATATCAGTGAACGAACAGTTCAGTGTGGATACGTACTTGGACCGTTCTCCAGTGTAGTCTGTGCCTCTTCCAGTGTTTTCAGCATGGCCTCTGTCAAGTCTTTGTGTTTTCCAATAACTGTGTAACCGTTCCATATGTACATCATTTCCTGAACCACACACACACACACACACAAGCAGACAGGAAAAACAACACATTTAATTCCTATCACTAGTTGAACTTGAGGAGTGTATTCTGTGTGAAATCATTGAACTCTTTTTGTTTTGTTTTGTTTGTTTTGTCCCACACCAACGCAATGGGAAAAGATATTGTCGACTCAGATGGAATAAAGCACATTTAAATTATATTTAGTTAATATTTGAGCCTGGATATTTTAGCATCAACTCATTAACACTTAGCTTTCATAAACTTTCACAAAGTAACACTTGTGAAATAGTTGGTTATAATTTTTTCTGATTATGTCAGTAATATGTATAAAGTACAATCAGATTTTTCTTCTTTTTTTTTTAACAACAGACATCGTCCAGAACTGACCAGTGGAGCAGCAGGGAGAGGGATGGGGTTTTCTACGAGGTAGCGACGGGCTTTCCTGATAGCAAACTTCTCCGTTGGTAAAGACTTTCCAGCTATTTTCTGTTTAAGCCCTGGAACCTGCCTGGAATAGGAAACAAAAGAAAAAAAATCAAATGAATAAATATGTTAGTTACAATTAAAAAAAGGAGACACCTTTTCATAATGTATGTAAAAGGGGAGTGTGTCGATAGAATTACATCTTTGTTAACTTGTTAAAACAGGTCTGTCAGTTGCTTTAAAAGTGGGGACCAGGCAATACTTATTCTTTGATCCTTACAACTTTGGAATCCAGTCACATGCTCGTTTGGATGGTTCGGAGGGCCGGATTCGGCCTGCGGCCCACCAGTTGATAATCACTGATCTACATTATTTTATTATTATTTTTTATTTTGAATATTCCTTTATTATACATACTATTGTTTAGCCCAATTTTGTGGTAAAACTGTGAATTACTGCAAACCTTGCATCTTGTGTCATTGATCTGGAGGAGTACCTGAACAAAGTGAGCGCAGTCTCGCCAAAAGTTAGACAGTCGTCACTGGTCAGCATGCTCAGGTAGGCTGCTTTCATATATGCATAGGTCGCCTGGGAGAATGACAGGAGGTGTTAGTGTGAATACAAGTCAGGCTGAAATAAAAAGAAATCCAGTTACAGTCTACAGAAGGAATAACAAAGTTCTTGTACATTAACCAAAAAAAAAAGAATGTTTTCAATTTAATGGTCCCAAGGTCCGACCCTAGATCAGTGGTTCTCAATTATTTTCTGTCCCTCTAGAAATGTTTTCACACTCACCCCACCCTAATCCCAGCGAATTAAAGTACTACTGAGAACCTGAAAACATGTGTATTTTTATCTGTTCAAAACACTGTATGAGTTGCTGCCACCTAGTGACTGGAGGCTTGTTATCATTACAGCATTACAGCAGTGGTACACTTATGTCCAGGGTGTCATATTCTATTGGAAGCCCCTCCCAGGGGGGGCCCGCCCCACTATTTGAGAAGCACTGCCCTATAGGCCGATAACAGGAACTGTGGACCTGCAGCGCCTGGCTGTTAAAAACTGACAAGTTACATGATGAGGCAGAATCACGTGTTGTTTTGCATGTTTTTGATTGATATGTCTGACGTCCTAATGTGAACTGGAAATGTCTGCCTCAGTGTGAGTACAAGGAAAAGACAGTGTCCACTGCAGGCCGTTGACAGTTAAAGAAGATTATTCAATACAAGTTGTTAAAATTACTCATACAATACTGCAATACTCACTGTCCTCATTCAAAGTGACCCAGTGGTAAACTTCCCGTTCTCGCAGATGCAACAACTGATGCAACCCAACCTGGGATGTGAGGACCAGGTGGTGCTCAGAGTGCTCCTTCATTTTAGTTTTAAACATTACTGCCATCATTTGCTTTGACCAACAGGGGGCCTTCACTTACCACTGCAGTACATGCCTCAGATCAGCGACATGCTGGGTTGTGATACTTTCTGTTTGACTCTGTGTTTTGCTGGTGGTGTAACAACATCCGTGACAACATGTGGGAGGCAGTGAGTGAGGCTTTCTACTCTTCCAGCTAACTGCTAACCGCGCCATCTGACAAGATTCTCGCAGTGTTCCTGTTGTTGTGTTTCCTCTTTCTCACCTTCAGTTTGAATATGAAATGAACGCTACGACTGTGATTCAATCCTAACTCTAAAATAAGCAGCCTTAATAATCTGTGAAAGTTCAGTCATTCATACGACTGTCCTCGGTTCAAACCTTAGACCACGAGTTCTCTTTGCTCAGCAGGTCAGCGTAGAAGTACGCCATCTTCCAGTGTCTCTTGTAGGTGAAACACCACATGAGCTCCCAGTAGCACATGTGGTGAAACTGCTTCCACTGCTGCTGAGCCTCGCAGCACTCCTGAAAACACTTGATGGCCTAAAAACCAACAGAAGAACGGAACCGACGTCGATAACTGATCCTAACTCTTTTATTTCCAACAGAAATAAAATCACGGTGGTTGATCACAGAGATTAAATTAGCTCCTGTTGTGATGCTAATTGTGATGCTAAAATGCTACACAAGTGAGTAAAATAATTCATTTCACTGTATAGTTTTAACAAAGGAATTCAAGTATTTTTGAACTGTGTTGGTGAAATTATTCTACTGCCAAGTAATGTGTACTGTCTCCTGTATGTATACAAATGGATTAGTACTTTATCTGTACTTTGAATACCATGTGACCTACAACTACATGAGCAAAGATCTAGTACTTTATCTGTACTTTGAATACCAACTACAACTACATGAGCAAAGATAAATTATTTAACAATATTTGTAAAACATATTCTGCTTTACTTTTATTGTTGATATTAATGCAGTATAATACTGACTGTTTGTACGTCACCCTGATAAGTATGGGAGGAGAATTTTAATAATTTTAAGAATTAAATTTAAGAATTTGTCCATTAAGATTAAGAATGTGTTTTGTCAATTTGGACAATACAAACTTGACTTTAAATGTATTTTTAGTGCAGTGGTGACTGCGTGTCACTGCGGGTAGACTCACAGCATCCAGGTTGCCTTTGATTTCTTCTATTCGACCAGCAAAAAACAGGAAGATGGATCCCTAAAAGACAGAAAGTCAGGATATCAGTTAGGGATTCAAATAGTGTAGCAAATTAAAATAAAGATTTTTTAAATTAAATTGACGACATATGACAAACCGTGGGATATTTTTTTAGATATGGCTGCAGGAGTTTTTCAGCATCTTCAACGTCTCCCTCTCCAGTGCCTGGAAGAAAGGAAATAATATCTTGGATCACAACAGAATTCCTAACAAAACAGATGAAATCACAACAGAATTCCTAACAAAACAGATAAAACAGACATTCTGTGTGTGTGTGTGTGTGTGTGTGTGCTTCCTCACCTAATATGAAGCTCATGAAGGTGTGATAACAGAGCAGCAGCATGTTGCAGAGGAAAGACCTGAAGGTGCTCTCTACTGAACCTTCCAGGAGCTGCTGCAGACCAAACTCCTACACAGGTCCACACACAAACACTGACTTAAATACACACAATCAAGTGACCATATTTTGACTCATTTTACAGTAATAGAAAAAATATTTAAATATTTCTGAACTGTAATGAAAATTATTTATTTGTTTTATTGTCTTTTTTGGTGTATTTTCAATGATTGAAAATACATTACATTTCATATCCAAAGCGATACTTGCCTTTCAGGGTATTTCTGTAGTCATTACATAAACCAAACCAATCATTTCACAAGTTGAAATCATTATTTCACACAACCAACTTCAAAAGTCCCAGAAAGTGTACAGTCATTGCAGTCAGAAGACAACTGTATCACTTCTTAAAGGTTTCGTCTCGTGCTTTTACTAAATGTGTCAGGTTAGTTGTCAGCGCAGGAGTAAATTAAATAATTTCACCCCAAATCTCAGAAAACAGTTCCTGTGACTCAGCTTTGAAGTGGAATTTAAATCAGCAACTCAGGATATGAATCATTCACCACAACACCTTCAGGGAATCTCGACCACAGCCAACAACTGAACAGCTACAGTCGTACTACTGTCGGGATCTGACCGTACGTGTCGTCGAATGTGAAGAACACTCACCTTGTTACCAGAGAAGCCAACAAACTCCAGGAGCTTCAACGTCCGTGTGGGCAACATGGAGATCATCTGTAGAGAGAGGTGAAGAGGTCAACAACAACAACACTACTGATGGAATGTGAATCAACTTGAAACGATCAAGTACAAGTACGTGTACAAATCACAGTATCCACTGCCTTCATTTAAGAATATTATTTATGTGTTATGTCAATACACTGCATTTAACCTAAAATCCAAAACAAAAGGCCTAAAGTGAACTGAAATGAGCTCATAGTTAGTTAGGTAAAAACTGGTCAAAACAGGCAAATGTTTGGCAATTATTGAGCAAAACATATCTCAGTGAGACATAAATATATGCAAACTAGTTCACAAATATAATTAAAAGTCAAAATGAAAACATTTACACTAATGAAATATAACAATAATGATTAATAAAGGACAGCAACAAATGCTAGCTGGGCCACAATACAAATGTTTCTACTATTCATCAGTTCAACACCAATAAGCTTTCATTCAAGTTACACATTTTATTTCTCCAGCTTTCATTCATTGAAATTGGGAATGTGATGGTTTACAAGAAGATGAAATAAACGTCCTCTCCTCAGCCCTTCAGGCCTACAGTCAGCCTTAGCACTCACCAGATTAAAGGCACCTATTCCCAGCTTCACACCACCCTCAAAATGGCCGTGATTGTCACCGTTAGTGTATCCAGCAGACTGGAGGACTGTGTGCAGCTCCCTGGAGAAGAAGACAACAACTGTCGTCATGTTTAGGCTTTAGAAGGTCAGGCAAAGGTGTATTATTATTATTATTATTATTATTATTATTATAATTATAAATATTATTATTGTTATTATTCAGAAGCCTCCTTCTTACTTGTATGTCTGATAGCTGTTTCTGACTTTAATCCCACCTTTAATGAAACTGATCATGTTTTCATCCTGTGGAAGGACACAAAAGACAAATGAGTGGTAAAAAAAAAACATTCTTTAGTTATGATAAAACTTTATTTCATTAGTTGTGGTGGATTATCTGCCCTACTGACCTGTAGGAAGGTTAGTGCTGCCCTCTGCAACAGACACTCCGCGTAGCAAACCTCAGCATGAAGTTCCTCTGAGGGGAAGAAGATGACGTCACAACGAGCCCCAGTGATGGTGCATACAACAGCCGTACACACACACACACACACACACACACACGCGCACACACACTCTGTTGGTATTTGGCTTTCATGAACCACATTTCACTCATACTGTCATGGTGTCTGACCTTCTGTGAAGTTTTTGGTGAAGCTGGATTTCTTGCGGTGTCTGCAAAGCAACGGGAGACAAAATACACTTGTCAGTGGCCCAGTCTCACTGCACATCACACCCAGATGTATACACCCCAGCACTTCACTGCTCATCTTGTTTCCAGTGCAAACAGTGACTCAGCCCCTCTGCCCCCCATTAAGGCCAGGAAGGATGCTGCAGGATGAAGTTACCACAAGGTGCTGACTGTGCAATAAGTTTCCTATCAACAGCTACGTCCTTCAACAAAAAAGCAGCTCTGACTCAACAACAGCTTCGGCCACACAAAAGGAAAAATCTCTTTTCATCAGGTCATGGCATAATGATCACCTTCTGTCCTGATACATTTCAATTGATTTCATTGATAGATAATGGTATTTAAATGCAAGATTCAATATTTTTTCCGACTCTCCTAGGTTTAATATCAGATATAAAAACTAGTCAGTTTGAACTGCAAATATTTTCTCAAAATGCTGCTTTGAAGTCAAACATTTTAAAGTGAAATTTGTGTTCAAACACTGTAATCTTAGTGTTATGTCATAAAAATGAATTATATTTCTAGTGAGCAAATGAGTCCTCTCACACAAGAAAACCTGGATGGAGTTTGTTTGTAGGATAGAATTATGAAAAGGCTATAAATGTTTCCACCAAACACCCAAACCTCCTATTTTTCCCATTTGGCAAAATAGATTTGATTCTTTTCTCTGTTACTACCTTTGCGTTGTTGCTCCCTGGAGGGAGTTTCTCTCCCTTTACTGTCACAACTCTTTTTTTAGTGTCAGAATGACTTCACTGACTTGATGTTTTTCTGTCCTTTATTATTTCTGCAAATGTTTTATCAGGTTTACCAAGAATGTGGCAGAGACATACCCCCGCATCACCCTGACATATCCTGCGATTTCTGCCAACGTCGCATCAATATTGATCCTCAGCATCTGATGGAGCCATCTCCAGTTTAAGAATTTGGGCTGACACTTAATGACTCATTGAAAAACAAGTCCCTGGGTCGGACCCTTTTCTAAAGCAGCGCTCTGAGCACCAGTCCTCACCTCTGACAGATGGCCTGGGCCTCCTTCATGGTGTTTCCTGCAACCAGGATGTGCTGAGGATCAAAGGTCATCATGGCCTGCATCTCTAGGATGGTGGCGTAGGTCAGAGCGTGGTACATGCTGTCTTTGGTTCTGTTAAAAAAAAAACAAAAAAAACAGTGGCACCGCACCAGTGTTAATAAAGCTGAACGAAACAAGGCATTAAACATAAGGCAAATGTCTAAAATGAATTTTAAAAAATATGAAAACAAATATTAACCTTTAAGATGTGTAGCAATAATAATAATATTAAAATATAAATAGATCTAGCTCCTTAAAATAAAAAAATATAAGGACATATTCCTATTATATCAAATGAAATGAGAACTGTATTTGTCCTTGAAGTCAGTACACAACAACAACGTGTCTACTCATCGATGTGTTCCACAGAGCAGCAGTGGGCTGCACGCACTTTTCAAGGGAAACGGACAAACAGACACAGGTCTATTTATACCTTCTGTTGTTGTGCCACGTCAGTGACTTAGTGAGTGACACACACACAGTGACACACTTGTGCTTTAAGTCAGAGAAAGTTTGTCATTCCAGTTCTGAGAGTTATTCAAAGGTGCAGAGTTTATTTATGTCACAGTAGAAAATTGTTATTTATGTTAGAATAACACACCAGAAACACACACACACACCACAAACACACACACACACAAGAAATGTATTTCATTTATAATGTCTCAGTCTAATGGTTAAACCAACCAGCTTTCGTATCTTGTATTTATTTGTACCATTAGATGAGGTGTGCAGAGGAAGGCCGTCAGCCCACATCACATCACTGACGCTTCGTGTGTTGCCCACACACTCACTGGTGACAGCCTTCTCTCTAATGTTTCTCTGGCTTCAAAGCAGCCGTTCATGATGAGAGGAAAGTGCTCCACAGCTGCCAACACGCCACCAAAACAAAACAAAAACCAACTATTTCTTTGTTTCTAATGTAATGTTTACATTTAGAACAGACATTTAGGTTTAAGTTTCCTGGCAGGTAACGTGGTTGACAGGCAGTCAACCTTTCAACCTAGCTAACGTAGTTAGTTTTCTGGTTCTGATTTCACTCGTTGACTGGTAAACAAGAAAATACTTCATAAAAAAACATGACGTCATTTCACTGTCTGTAGAACAACAGGGTCAAAGTCAAGCTAAAAACACTTGACATGACTCAACACAGGAGACAGGAATTCCTCACACATTTGTTTACAGCACAGCAGTGACTTTCAAACATTCTGAGAGCCACACTGAGATATTACCCACGGACACGGCTGCTCATCCTTGAGGCTGAAGGACTAAAGCTGGGACTCTGACATTCATAACCTACTACACAATTCTCCACGGTGTGATTTTGTAAAAAAGTAAAGTAAAAAATAAGGCAGACTCTGTACTGCTAACTGTGACCTCAACACAAGCTGCTGACTTCTGTCACAGCATGTCCTAACTGTTACTTAAAAATGACATTCAAAGTCAAAGCCAACGTTAGTGAAAGTTAGTACTAAAGTAACAAGAGGTTTTACAGCATATAAATCTCAGAGCCGCAGCACCGCAGGATATGATAGGATACATTTTTACATATGTAAGAATTTGCCCTGTTGGTTATTGTATTATGTAACACACAGCTACACCTCCACCATCAGACTGTCTGGTCTGGACCTGGTCTGCTGGCAGGTTTAAACAGGGCAGGCTAACATGAAGAAGAGGATTGGTTAAGACAAATAAAGTACAGCAAACACCAGCAGACATGTTGGTACGGAGACGTGAATTGGTCTGAACCATGACTCAGATAAAAAACCCCAAAAAAAACGATATATTGCTAAAGGCTCAAAAAGATAATCGTGTATAACAGAGTAGAATTTACCACAGGTTGTCAATGAAGTTACATAACCAGGGCCACCTTTGTCGTTTTTAATCTGATTAATCACAGGGCAGCTGTTGGTTAATCATGGATACCTAATAATTCAGGATTAATCATGGTATCATGTAATGTTTACATTTAAAACAACCAATCTCCCTCATGGTTCAACATTCTAGACCCTGACACATTGAACGTCACCATTGGCTGCAGCTTGTACTTCATTTTTTTCAACAATTAAAAATTGTTTGAAAAGGTGTTTATTTTCACGCAGTTGTTTTTTTGAAGCAAAATATAATTTGAAGATGAAGAAATAAATGTGCCCTAACCATCATTTATAAAAAACCCAAATGGATCTGTGCTTTTTTTGTGTGTTTTTTGCCCCTAATTTTATAACTGCTGTAATGATTCTGCTTCAAGGTTGGATATGTTGTGCCTTCAGTTACCTCACTTAATTCTCTTAACTTATTACCTCAAACCATGACGGTTCAATTTGACTGATTTGGGAACTGTGACTCACTGGGTTTATTTTGTTTTTTAAGGTCCATCAGCAGTGAACACTAGAAGTTGGTTGTTCAACCCAGATCAGCTCGCCTGGAACCGACAACATTGGTTTGTGAAGCAACGATTTCAAGCTTTATGGTAAACACAGCAAACTGTGTTCTCTACAGAACAGACAGAACATTCTGAAGCCTCATTATGACACGTTTGTAGAAGAAGTAAACTGGGCCTGGGGAGTGGCTCTGTGCCGCAGAGAAAAGACACCAGGGCGGAGGAGGACACCAGCGCTGCTAAATACTCTGATAATAGAGCCACAGACAAAGGGAAGTGAACAGTAAAGTAACCTGATGACGACACAGCCTTGGAATACAATGGTGGAGCATGTGGTTGGACACTTCACTGTAAATAAGAACACTGGGCCTAAAGCTAATACTAGCATGCTAACAGGTTACGCTGATGTGGACATTTCTAATGTCAACATGTATTTTAAATGGCAGACAAAAGGACATGAATGTTGCCGTCATGTTTTGAAAGTTACCAGGGACGAATGTTGCCGTCATGTTTTGAAAGTTAAACCAAGGAAGTAATCAGATTAGTTCACCACCAGGGGGCAACTTCATTGACTAAGAAACAAACAAATCTATTTAAAATGAACTGTAATTAAAATATAATTTATTTGAAAGGCAAAGGCAAAATGGCACATTTGAACCAGATGTGTCACTTGATTTGACAGTAAAAATAGCTGTCTAATAGAATAGAGCAAATGGATTTGGTTTAATATGGAGTAGGTTTATAAATTTAAAAAATAATTTAATTACAAATGAATAACTGGTGTGTAAAACAACACAATGTTTACAAAGCTGTGACTTAAAACTTGGCATCATATCCAGACACACTTTTTATTTTAT